AGGGGGGCGATCAATTTCGTCTTATGGACAACTAGGCATGTTCACGGGTTGAACCGGGTCCTTTGACCGCGGGTCTTGAACCGGTCTGTACCGCGGGTCTTGAACCGGTCTGTAGTTTTACCGGGTCGGTTCAGTTCATGATTTTGGGCAATTTGAATTGTGGTTCATATTTTGAACCGTAACCGGTGATTCGGTTATTTTAATTTATTGATTCGTCTCGGAATCAGGACAGTCGGTTCATTGAACTGACCCGTCTATATTCTCGTGTCGGTTCAGATCCCCAAAAGTGGCGGTTCCATCCCAAGATTGAGATTTGGCCATGTCTACAGTAGAAGATATTCAATATATGTCTCAACGAGGTTAATATTCATAAGTTCTTCTAGCTTGTAGTTTGTGGTTTAAGTTCAATTGTTGTACTTAGGAAAACCAAAGTGAGATTTTCTAGAACATTTTCTTTAGTCATAAATTTATTTATGAGGCGACCTAAATGTTAGGCGTATCGATCCATCATCTTTTTTTTCTAATTAAATATTGCATACTTACGCTATGCATTGTCAATAAAATAATGACTACTTATATTATGAAATGTCATAATCTTATTTATGTTCTTTCATAAGTATGAAATCTCAATTGAAAAGTATTGTATATTGAAAGTATGGCTATCTAACCTAATTGGCTCACCTTTTTTTTTTAAAAAAAAAAAAATTAGCTCGCTTAATAGCATTAGGATTTGTATCGCCGTTACGTAATTTGGATGAGGCAATGTGAATGTCAGAATAAAGTTGGTTGCTAGACACATAACTCAAGATAAGACCCTAGAATAGTCTGACCATGTTCGAGCTACATGAGGTTATGGACATGTAACTCGAGCTAGGGTCTACGATGATGGGAATATGCTCGAACTTCAGTGAACTAGGGACGTATATTTCGAGCTAAAGTCTAGACATGATCATGCTCTAGCATAAAGAAGGTCGCAAGTAAATGAATTCTATATAAAAGAAAAAATATTGAAAGAAATATATTCTCCTATACTTTTTACGAAGAGGTAGTTTGTGTGTTTACAAATGGGAACTCCAGAATTATGAAAATTCTTTGACAAAACGACAATACGTCAATATAATGATAAAAAATCTATGTGTTTAGTGTAAATCGACTCATAATTATTAACAATTTTTTTAGTCAACCAATTATTATATTAGAAAGAAAAAAAAAACTAGAAAGATTACATCGATGTGTCAAGAAAAATCAGTAAAACCAACATAAAGATTAGATCTACCCCCGTAGAATTACAAAGTACGCCACTCTCAAGACCTGATTCACAACGAGTTGAAAAGGATCAATGCAGGGAGTGTCGAGGAAGTCAACTTGTAACACCCCGAGTTATCAGAGTAAATTTTTTTCGCAACTTATTTCAAAAATACTTACAAATTTTTGAAA